ATCCAGCCAAAGTCATTTTGTGAGTCTTTCATCTTTGCACCACAAGCACTTCCAGCTGCATGTGAACACTACAAAAACCATCCCAGTGGGTCTTGAAATGCTTTCTGTTCTGGTGTATACTGAGGTGGCTGAACATCCTCTTACAGCCTTAACCTTGCTGCTGCTCTTTGTTGTGACTTTTGTCCCACTGTGTAAACTAATGTCTGTAGTCTCTTAGATTTTCACAGTCCATGTCAACCGTAAGCAATCCCAGTGTGATGACTCTTTCTTGTAATGAGATGTGCCACTATCTGTGTTGGCTTGTGTTACTGTTTTTGAGAAACGCTGAGTTACACCAAGTCATTAACTTGACAGGCTACTGCAGCAAATACACACACCAGAAGCTGATCAAAGTACGCAGCTATCTGCTGCCCGGTTGGAAACTGTCAGTGGCTGCTATGATTGCATTCTCCAAATGCATGATGACTGGTTGTGGCTACCTTTTGCAGGCAGAAGGTGTTTTCATGAGCCTTTTGTTGATACCACATATCCTGCAGTATCTGTGTCCAGGGATGAGGCCAGCTCTGCCAGTGAGGCAGGCAGTGTACAGCTGACAACACCAGACTTATTGCTTCATAGCTCATCAGTTTGAGGGCTGTGACAAGTCCCTGGAATCAATGGCATGTCCTCCAGCTGGAGGCTGACTGTGGAAAAAATAAAGGGAACTGAGGGGGGGTTGATTGTCATCTCCATGGCCCATCAGTTTTTGATGGGCTACCTTTTTTCTTTCCCTTATGCGTCTTTTCCAAATATATAGATACACTAAAAGGACAAGGTCCTCGCCAAAACTGTTAAGCAAAGCAGTAGCATCAACTTCAAAATCCTCCTCCTGAAATACAGTAATAATTTTAGGTATTAATAACAAATCAACTTGCTATATCTCAGAAAAAATACGCTAATTATGTTGAGCATTTAGTGACAGTCCTGTTCAATTCTGTTTGTAAAATTGGTGGCATGACCTCTTGTGAAGAATTATTTACATATCGTTTTAAGGAACCCATACTTTTAAATGCAATGTTCTCTTCAAGAATGCTGTGAGAAACTAAGCTGAGTATATTAACTGGCTTCAAAATAGACAAAGTGAATGCTGATTCAGAAAATGTTCAAATACTCAAATTATGGTATTTGCGTAAGTGTTCTCTAATGCTGCAATTCTTCAATTAAAGTTGATTTTTTTTTTTAAATTGATTATATGTGACTAGGATTCATAAGGAGTAGCAGTAGATGAAGTTTATGGTTCGTATATTTTTTTTCAAGTTTAAAATTTTGCTGATAAGTTTGTAAGTTTACAAAGGCTGTGGGTGAGTTGGTGTTTTTGCCACCTGTCTTCCAGAAGCTGAACAGCATAAACCATGGCACCGCTGCTCTGCGTGATCAAAATGAACAGTGGCTGAAAGAGTTGGATTTTATTTATTGTCCTTCTCGCCACAAAAATATACCTTTTACTAAAAAAATGATAGTGGTGTAACAGTGGAATTTGTGACTATGTGTTCTAATGCGTGAAAGCCTCGTTGCAGTCTGTCAGTGCTAGGAATTTGCACAATGCTAATAAGTTAAAATGTAATTGAATGCTAGGCTTGCTAGGCCTCAAAACAACACGTACTTCAAATTCAGTGAAATTGTTCTCTGATGTGTAAGTTAATCTCTACTCGTAGGGTATCCAAGTGTACATTAAATCTATTATGATTATGCAGAATGAGGACACTCTTTTTGTGTAATATTCTTCCATCTACTCATGGGGTAGGTGCTGGGTCAAGGTTTTTTATACACCATCATTATGAAGTTACGACATTTACTGGTTTACCCAGATAATCCAGTCGGTGCTTTTGCTGATAGGTTGTCCTGGGTTTGGCCAGGACAGGGTTAATTTTCACCGGACTCCAGGAAGGGGCACAGCTGGGGGGTGGGGGCTGACCCCACCTGGCCAGACAGAGCCCGGTATTCCATACCGTGTGACGTCACGCGGGGTTCCGGTGGGGGGGGGCGGCGCGGGGGGCACTCACTCGCAGCTCGGGGGGGCACAGCGGCGGTCCTGTCCAAAAACTTTTCATTCTCCTCCGCACGCCGGCGGGGGGAGGGGCGGCCGCGTGGCGCTTTTGTTGCCGGTGGCAGCCGAAACCAAAACATTGGTATGTTTGGAAGCAATGTGTAGGAAGCCCTTTCTTGACACAGATTGCTGTCTTCTGTGCCTTCGGTTTGGATTGCATAATGCCTGCCAAAAGCACCCATTTCTGTGGTTAGTCCTGCTGTGGGGAGGTTAGAGGATCTGGACTTGTTTTGGAGGGTTCAGAAGGTTTCTTGCACAGACAGTGGGATAGTTGCTGTGGTTGAATGTGGTGCCTTCATTACAACTGTAGAATGGCCCCCCTGTGCTCCTTTTTGTTATTTTGTGTCTACAAGATTATCAGTTTAACAATAAGATAATATTGGACGAATGAGAGAAAAGGGTGTTAGCAGAAGTTTAGAACCATTTTAACAGTTGTGCCAAAAATTAAGTCTTTGCCTGTTGCAACATAAGGGGGAAAATGGCATCTCTTATACCTGCAACTTATGTCAGCTAACTGTTTCACTGTGGTAGGAGTGATTCCAGGTCCCTTTTTACTCATCTGACAAGTCCAGTTATGATTAAACTATTCCTATTACTTTGTAGGTTGTAGGGAGAGGTTTTACCCTACGCTTAGTTGTAGAGCATTTGAGAAGGCAACTGCAAAGCTTTCTTTTCGTCAGTCAGTCGTGCTTTAACTTTTACTGTAGGGTACCACAAAGAATAGTGGTTAGTCTGACAGCTTCTGAAGAGGTGGTTCCAGAGGAACAGAATTATATCTTGACTTGTTTAAGTTACATCACAGTTCTTGGGCAAAGGTTATAAAGCTTCCCCAAGGAGAAGCTGTCACCCTGGCTATATTACTTTGGCTCTATCTTAACAGAATTGGAAGTTTTTTTGATTAAAAAAAAATCCCATGAAACTTAGGTTATTCTTTCAGTTATTTTAAACCAGTTGAGAAATGTGACATGGGTGGTACTGATATTTAGTAGATAATTGTCCTGGGTTTGGCCAGGACAGGGTTAATTTTCACCGGAATCCAGGAAGGGGCACAGCTGGGGGGTGGGGGCTGACCCCACCTGGCCAAACAGAGCCCGGTATTCCATACCGTGTGACGTCACGCGGGGTTCCGGTGGAGGGGACGGCGCGGTGGAAACGGACTCGTGGCTTGGGGGGGCGCGGCGCCGGTCCTGTGGGAGGGGCGGCCGCGTAGCGCTTTTGTTGCCGGTGGCAACCGAAACCAAAACATTAATCTTATAATTCAACGAGACATGCCTGCATTCTGGATGTCAACTGTTTTGGCAAGTACTCAGTGTTGATGAAGGCAAAGTAATGCTTGTAGAGCGGATGGGAAAACTTAATATGGAGTCCATTACTCAGACTAGATATGATCCCTCCAGAAGGGTCTTGGAACTCTTAACAGATCTATGAAAACATCTGCTTAATGTTACATAGTAAAAAAGGAACTGAAACTCTTTGACTCAGAGGGAAGCAAACAGCGAACAAAACAAAAGGCAATATTATTGTGACCCTGTGTTCGAAAGGCTAACAAACTAGATTCATACAGTGTAAGTCTCATCCCCAATCAAAGGAGGAGGTAGTAGAATTAGGTAAGATCCATGTCAGAGTGACAAGGCTAATTAAAGCGTAGAATGGTATTTTTCTTCTTGGTGCAAGAATGGCATAAACTAGTATCACTTCCCAAACAGTAGAGACCTTACAGGGCAAAGAAGTGTGACAAATACCTATAAAAGCATGTGCAGCATGGAGAGGCAACTATGAAACCATTAACACTGTCTGCTAGTCTAAGAACAAGGAGGGACAGTCAACTGGAACTAGCAGGTGGCAAACTTTTAGACGAAAGTAGCGAACTATTCACACAGTGTGCAAGTGAACTGAAAAATCAGTCCTGCCCAGTGTTGAGATGCCCAGAAGTTCGCGGAGGTCTGAAGAGTGATTAGATAAATTCACAAATGAAAAATCCAACGTGTGCTGTAAAACACGTATGCTGGCTCAGGTGAGCTTTGAGCTCCGGCCTGCCAGTTGCTGGGGGTATCCTCCCACAGTGTAACGGAGTACTCGGGTATCCCTACCTAGGCATCTGGTGCTGTCAGAGAGCAGATCCTGGGCTAGACAGCCTCTGGTCTGTCCCATTACAGAGCCTGCAAGCTTTCTGTCCTTGTGACTTGGTTGCTAAATAAATATTCTTTAAACGCTCCAATTTTCGTTCCCTTACAGAACTCTTAAGGTAGGACACGTGTATACTAGAAAATATGCTGAGGAACATTCCCAGTGACTGAAGCAGTCTGGTGTGGAATAATCTTTATCTCTGATTAAAATCTCTCAATCTGAAAACAGGACAATTTCAAGTTGCCAGCTGGGAAAGAGCCTAGCTCATGTGAATTCTCAAACCATGCCCAGGAGTTTTAGGAGTTTGCTAGCTGGCATAGGCTAAAATCGTGCCAGAGACCATTTGAACAATTAAGCAATGTAGGCAGTTGCGTTCCAGTACCCGGGAGTGTTTCCAGGCGCTGTGTAATTTGCAGTTCCAGCCTGAGTGTTGCGTTTCTATCCAGTTTGAAGTACTGAACAGAAAGAAATTCATTTGCACAGTAGGGCTTCTCTGTGTGACCACCATAGCTACTGGTATGGCTCTTACAGGCAAGTCTCTTTGCTGATTTTAATGACCAAGAATAAAAAGTTCAGTTGGGTTCTTAAGCTATCTTAATCTTGCGTAGAAGTGAAAATCTAAGTGTTTTGGGGTCATTTGAACTTTACTGTGTTACCACCTGGGAAATCATTGGAGTTGCTGCCTAGAGCAAGGAACAAAATTAAGAGATGCTTTGTTAAAAGATGAAATGTAGAATTTGTGATTTTTACCTTAAAAGTAATGGCTACCTTTTCTTTTTAGACGATGTGTTCAGCAGTTGTTCAAATATATGCAGCAGATCGCAATGCCATGTGGTCAAAGAAATGCTGTGGTGTAGCTTGCCTTGTAAAGGACAATCCGCAGAGGTCATATTTTATCAGAATATTTGACATTAAGGTAAGCACCTTTGTTTCCTTTTCAAACTCTTTAAGCTTGGTTGTATTCATTCTCCATTTTGAATTGAATGAGTGTAGGTGGTTGTAGCTACAGACTCTCAGAAACTCTGAAGTGGTTGTGTTTTAAGCGGTGCAATTAGTTGCCCTTGCCTATTAATAAGCACTGTTTCTCAGGTATTCTAAGTTTAAATTATTTCATAAATGTCAGCTTTTATGGATGAAATAAATATCAGATACAATTTTCTTCCAGCTCACAGAAGCTGTCCTCTACACATCTGATTAGTCAAACTAGTGAAGGTTAGTATAGTGTCACTGATATGCATAGCTGTCAAAATTCTAGCGTGTGTCACTACTTTGGATGATTAACAAAATAGATGCTGTCTTCTGTATGGGTAGAAATAATCTTTTTGATTAGTGTGTTGGTGCATTTGAAAACTGCAGGGGACACAAGTTTTTTTTATTTTCCCCTCCGCAATACATGCATTCATAGTGAAGATCTTTGTCCTATTAGAATATTTCACTGGAGACAGTGTGAACTAAGAGATGAAGTGCCCAAGATGCATTTTCATAACAAAAATGATACTGAGAAGCATAAGTCCTGCTGACTTTGCTGAAACTTTGGAAAGCTTCCCGTTATCTCTACAGCCAGAAACAGCTTGTTATCTGTCAGCATTCAGTGCTTGAAGTCTCTCAGATTTGCTCAAGATTGCCAGGTGGCGTTTCCATTTGATTTTGTGACTTGGTCACTTGACTAGTAGAGTTAGTGAGAAACCTGTTCCTTGGGTGCTGAACTATAAAGCCATTTAAATACATAAAACTGCTTAAAAAGGTGAGATTTTTGTTCCCTTTCTGTTTTCAAGTCAAGCCTGAGATAACAACAGGAGACTGGAAGTCTCCTTTATTGCTGTTACCACTGTATTCCTATCACTGGTCGCTATTACTCCTCCAACTATCACTATTGCAGGATTGTAGAACTTGAAGGATGGTTTCTGAGAACGTGCAGGAATTTGAACTGAACACAGTGACCTTATGGAATAGTCTTCCACAAGTTCCAGTATATTTTGATTTTGATGGAGCTCATTTGTTAGGTTAATAGCAAGGTGGATATTTAACAACATGCAGCTTCCAACTCTTAATAGGTTTTATTGTGAAGAAGTTAAACTCTACAATTCGTCTAAGTTTTTCAAAATATGTTTTTTTTCTTCTTTTCAGGATGGGAAATTGTTGTGGGAGCAGGAGCTGTACAATAACTTTGTATATAATAGTCCTAGAGGATATTTTCATACCTTTGCTGGAGATGTGAGTCTCAATTTCTTTGAATACCTTTTTTAAAATGCCTTTTATTTAAACAGTACCTTCTTTTAATAGAACTGACATTTTTATTTGATTCTGTAGCTTATTTATAAAAGTACGATATTATCTGTGTTCCTTGAAGCTTTTTAAGCTTATTTATAATACAAGGTTTATTTGTATCTCAACTAGAAAGTTTGATCTGTAAGGTAGAAGCGTAAAATGCAGTTCTTTGTTTTCAACTCCCTTTAATAAAATTAGATTTTGACTTGCAGATGATCATAGAATCATCAAGGTTGGAAAAGACCTCTAAGACCATCAAGTCTAACCATCAATAATGTTTGTGAAGTACCATATATTCTTAAAGCACAAATTCTCCTCTCCCCTCTTTGATTTCAAACTACAAGATTCTGGTCAAATTTGTTAGCCATGATCTCTAGAAACTTGATTAGTAAGCAGACATTCCTAAGACAGAATGTTTCATTAAGATTTGGTTCCAAATTTATAGTGATGACTTTTTCTGATTATACCTTCAGAAGGTGTAAGAAGACATTTAAGAAAGCCTTTGAAACATTTTCTTAGTCATGGGTGGGGAAATATTAATGTTTTTCAGACATGTCAAGTTGGTCTTAATTTTGCTAATGAAGAAGAAGCTAAACTATTCCGCAAAACAGTAACAGATTTACTTGGACGACGGCAGAGAAAATCTGGTAAATATTCAAATTAATCTTAAATTCAGGCTTGTTTATGTTGTATTGGGGGGAGGCAGGAAGCTGCCTATGTCTGAAAGCTACTGGAGGTACTACTGCCATATTTATATCTAGAAGTAATTGTGTTACTGTAGTGTATTTCTTTTCTGTATTGTGCAAAAATATTTTTTTGAAATAATTTGATATTCCTTGCTGTAAATTCTTTTGTAAGCTGAGACTCCAAGGTTGTGGTACGTGAAAATATAGATCAGGAGGAAGCAAAAATGGTAAGCTGTCAGTGGGAAAACTGGAAATCTTTATGTAAGCTGTTTTCACATTTGGCTAAACCCTGTTTTAGCTCTGGGCTGTTTATAACTGATTTGTTTAAGTTCAGTCCAAGTGGGTTGTAACAAAGATTTTACCATCTGTTATGTTCAGTAGTTCATGTGAATGAATTTTTGGCATTGGTCCAGCGTTTAGTAGAGAAATATCTTTTATTCAAAACTAGTGGTCTTTGCAGAGGCCAAGAACAGAAGATGTAATGCCTATACTGTCCTTAGCTGCACAGGACAGTCTGAAGCACAGCATGCTTCTTGCCAGCTGCAGGATGTCTGGGGAACATGGTCAGTGTTTTAAAGGGAGCTCAGGCTTCCTACAGATCTTGTCTTGGTCCTTTTCCATGGAGCCCATGAACAACTTGCCTGTCTGACAGACATATGTCCGTGAAGATGGTGGTGATACCAAACACAAGCTTTGATCACAGGGATGTGCTTGGGTTTGCTGTAAGCTGTAGCTAGTGTGGACTTGTGTTCAAGCTGCAGGATCTGTTTCTGTAGTCCATTCTGGAATTGACTTGCTCTAGCAATGCAGTGTAGACTAATGTAAAGGGAGGAAGCCCTCACCTTGGAGTGCCATCCTTGCAAGGATGCTTGGGAACTTACGTGATCTATATGTATTCACTTGGATTTCATTCAAGTGTGGCGACTTAGGTGCAGAGCATTTGTTGCAGAAGCTTGAATGGCTTCTTTAAGATTCCCTCTGCTCAGAATTAGAGTAAGTTCATAGAGTTTCATGAGAAGAAGTGAGATCACTAAGAAGTGGCATTAGTAACATTTCTCATACTTGTTATGTAAAAGTAATCTTGCACCTGCTTGCATCTCCTGTTCCTGGCGTTTCGCTCTATTACATGTCTGAAGCACAGTGCCACAGTGTACAGAGGTGACTTGGGAGGAAATATGTTTGAATTATTTGCCATAGCAAACTCTGAATATCGTGGTTCAGTCACACCTTCTGTTTACGGGACAGAGGTTTGCGTCTGTCCTTCCACATAGAGGTTTTTTTCACAGGACCACATAAGTTTTTCTGGTTTACTCTTTGGGCTAATATCTTGGTTTGTGTGCTCAGGCTAATATTGTAGCATGAACTTACTCCATACATTGTCTTTTAACAAACAACAACTCCCCCTCCCCAAATACAACTTGAATGCAACTGTAATTAAAAAAAAAACAAAATTAAAAAACCCAAACAAAAAAAATCCCAAGGGTTGTTTTTCTTGTTAAGAGCTGCAAAACAAGAACTGAAAACAACCATGAGATTCCGTAGTCGAACCACCAGATGGAGTTCTGTATTTGTCATTGATGTGACTGTATCCAATTGTGCTTCTAAAATAACAGGATTTGCACTTGCCCAAGCCAAAGCTGATCTGCTGTTGGTGCTTATATATTTATTTCTACAGAAATGCTTATATAAAAGATACATTAATTTATACATAGGTTTACATATAATAAAATGATATACAAAAGTTGTATATTATTTATAATGTAGATATAAATTGTGTGTGTATTCCAGTGCGCATTAACTTCTCAAACACAGAGGCAATAGTCTGGTTGTTTTGATGCTTTTTTATTTTAATGGGATTTTTATTTCCATGCCTTCCAAAATACGTTGAATTTCATATCAGTACCACCTGACATGCTTTCAACTGAAATGAGTACTCTATGTGACCACTTAGCAGCCTGTTACGCCATTCAGGGCTTGCTGGGAGTCTTATGGAAAGCTTATGTTGGGAGTCTTCCAGGAGTCTTATGGAAAGCTTATGTTGTTGGAAGGTAGCAAGAACAGCAGTTCTGGCTCATGAAACTGTGTCTTGGTGCCGAGACAAGTACACAAAATATTGTCTAACAGCTGCAAGAAGAGGCAGTAGTATTCTGCGCTTCCTCACTTGGCATGCAGTGCGCTCCAGTATACAGACGACTCCTGAGTAAGTGCATCTGGAGGTCAGAGAGGTGAAAGTTTGGCTCAACAGAATGAGGGAGGAAGGCAGAGAAAGAATTACTGATGGGTTGTCTTAATCTGTTTAGTATCAGGCTGGTTTTCATCTAGCTAAATTTGATTTTTAATTATTTTTCTTAAAGTCAATAAAATTTTTAACCTGAGGTTAGGAAGAAATTGCTATTTAATTGCTCTGGTAGACTTGTTTAAATAATCTCTCCATTTACTTCTTAAACCAGTCCCAAATAGTTCCCCCAGTAAGCAGGGTGAACACAGTGTTTCTGTTCTCTGTGCCTGTCAGTGCAGTACATTGTCACTTTGGGTATTGTTGCATGTGGGTACCACTAGTTTTTAGTTTTATTGTCTTGCCTCAGAAGTGTTAATGTGTGTGCACACACAAGTGGCCTCTCCACATGCTGAGCACTCAGCCATTAAGGGGCTGCAGAGACTTGTAAAACGGAACCTTTTTCTTAACTGCCTTTCCAAGGTAGGAGGCTTCTTCACTCTCTTTTATGGACTGCTTGTAGCTCATGGGTGGGAGCTCTGTTAGCCCTCTCTGAAGCTGCCTTTCTCCTTCACAACCTTTTAGCTCCGGATGCCCTTCCTAACACACTTCATAAGCTCCAAGCTGGATACTAAGTATGGAGAGCATTTTTTTGTGTATGTGTGTCTTTGATCACAGCTTTTGGTTTTGATGCCTGGGAGACAAGGGCATCTCTGAAGTGCTCATCTTGTGCTGGATTCAAGTCTCAGCAGAGATCAATGTTGTTTCCAGGAATACTTATTGAAGGGAGCTGTGTTTTTCAGAAGTGAAAGTTGGTGAAGTTGATCTGGTTTAGACCAGTAGACATCTCCATTTTCAAAAAAGAAGTCCTCCAAGCTCCATTCAGGTTGTCTGCGCTTCAGAGCAGGAGTTTGTATTTTCTGGTCAGCAGGGGGAACCACAGAAAAGCAGATCTAGTGTTTTTGGGCCACAAATTAATCTTTTATATACCCAGCAAAAATTACAGGAGGTGTTTAAACTGTCTTGCTTTGTTCTCCACTGTCTTTTCTCTTGAACTCTTCTAATGAAAATTGTAATGGATTCCCATGATTTGGCCCAAGGCCACTTAACACATGCTTATGAATACCTCCTGCTTTTGCCAGCTTCCCATCCTGTGCCAAATGACTTGCCATCGGCCCTGCACTCTCCTTTGCTGTCTCTGAGTTGTTGAATAAAAGTCTAATTATGTTCCAGAAGCTGAATTTGGGTTTGTTTGGGGTTTTTTTTGGCAGTGCAACATCAGTGGTTTCTTGAACAGAATATTCTAGGGAGAGAAAGCACAGTATTTGGCCAAAAAGCCTTTTTTTGTTGGTTTTTTTTCTGTTTTTCCTCCCCTCCGACGTGATATCGTTTGCAGAGGTTCTCCACCTCTGTGCCTGAAACAAATCTGTCTTTAGAAGGCTTGCTCAGCCAAAGTTGATTGTGAAGGGGCTTTGGTCCCCTTCCTCTGAAGGTTTGATGACTGATAGGTGCTTTATTCCTACCTGAAGATCAGCTGACTGATACAACGTTGGCTTGCCTTGCACACTTAGGATTGTAGATATTTCTCTCTCTTTTTTTTCTTTCTTTTTTTTCTTTTTTTTTCTTTCTTTTTTTTCTCTCTTTTTTTTTTTTTTTTTATTGCTAGGACTAGATCAACACAATCTGTGGGAGGGACCTTCTCTCTTGCTCTTATGTTTTTGTCTGGAAAAATGTAAGTTAGCAGTTTTTGTGGGACTTGCTGAAGAGTGAAATGTCTGTTACAAATTCTTGCTACAAAACCCTTGGGAGACCGTGTTAGATTTCAGATGCTCCAGATCAGAAAGGGGGGGATGTAGAACCTTCCTTACAGAGCCAGGTTTTTTGGTGCTTATGAATACCAAAATTCTTAAAAGAGTCTGTGTGTAGGTACACAAATAGTGTAACTGTGTACTGGGGGTTTTGAAGGACGGTTGTAGGGTAGGGAAGAGTTATTTGTGGTGGGTTGCAGGATAGGTGCATGTGGTGGGTAGGAATTAATAGTAAGTGAGGGAAATCTGCTTTAAAGGACAACTTAGTATTATAGTCTGAGAGAACTGAGGTGTGAAATGTTTACAACTATGTTTTAAATCATCAAGCCAAATTCTTTGTGGTCTATGAAACAGTTTGCCATTGTGAATAGAATACCAGGTTAGTACTGAGGAGGTTGTAGTTCTGTTCCACATTATTGAGTTGGCTATTGGATAAAATAGAAGTGTCTTGCCCCTCTGTGTCATATTTTCTTTGCATAAAATGAAAAATAATTGTATTTTAGGTTCCGGGGGAGAACAGCACTGTGTAAAAGCACTAATGATATTTTGAATAAAAATGAAGGAAGAGTCTCATTCAGTGGAAACCAGAAAGTATAACGCTTCAAAAATCTTGCTGTGATACGTTGTACCAAAACAGCTGCTTTTTTTAATATTTTGCCTTACTTTTGGTTTCAGACATTTGGACTCCACTCAATAGCCATTTCCTTATGCTCCTACTCAGTTTGCTCACTTGAAATCGGTGCTTATTACCCAAGATTGGGTTTTTATTGTTCTTTAGTGCTTTATTTCAACTCCACAAGTAGACTTTAAGGATATTAATAGATCCTTATTTTATGAGTTCAGGGTCGTTGAAAGCTTCACTAGAAACTAAAATTTAGAATGATTTTTTTCCTGTGATATCTGTGAATAAATAGCTCTTTTTTTCTTTTTCAACAGAAAAAAGACGAGACCCACCAAATGGTAAGCTTTTTTGCATGAATCACTGCATTTTATTTTTTCCTACTACTGTCATGTACTGTTTATGTATAGCTTTGTTTTGGACTTGTTCAGAATAGTTGTGTGGTGGTAAAAGCAGTAAACTCATATTCTAGAGGCTAGTATATTTGTTTTGTTTCTGATTTTTGGTATTTGTTTAGTTGTAGCTTGAAAGATTTGTGGCTTAGCTGGCATTTGTAAAGAATGTTTCTGGAGAAGCATGTTTTGTTGCAAATAGAACAGAGGCCCTTCAGCTTAAACTGAGAAGAAAACTTTGTACCTTGCATTTGCTGCTTGGTCTTCAGAATATGCATATATAGGATGACTACACAGAAATGAACGCTGAAATTATAAGTTACCCTCTTTGAAGGCAGATGTCACGATATTGGATTTCATAAAATGCCCATAAAATTTCAATTTCACTGTGTCCAACTAACCATGTGACATAGCTTTTTGGTCATATGTCATATGTTTGTCCATATTAAATTTTTTTTACATGAAGGATTATTTGAATCTATTTGCCTCTTAGGAGTGCGTCTCACTGGCATTAAGATACAGGTTCTTTAGGAGATCCTCTCATTAAATTGAAGGAGTCAAAACTATGTATCAGTTTGATCCAAATCTTTTTTTACCATCTATTCTAAAAGCAAGTGAAAAATGCAGATCAATGATAATTCAGCCTTGGAGTCTATGTAGTTCTGAATTCACACTGAAGTTAAAAAGTGAATTCTCCTGTGATACTTCTGTTGGTGATCTAGATCATAGGTCATATCACTGTATCTGTTAGCTTGCTGCTTGAGCAAGGGTATAGTCAACTGGTCGACTGAGGTCCCCTTACGGCATGAGGAGATAGTCTGAAATTTGTACTGAAACATCCACGCATCTCGGTAGGTCATCAAAATGTAGGTAATCCTTAACTAATCCTGAATTATGGAAACTACTGATATCTTTTGTATCCTGAAAAAACCCCACCGCCACCACCATGTGGAATGCTGCTCAAAAAAATCACTCTTTTTTTTGTAAACGTGAAGTTTTGAGGAAGTTCAAACAATCAGCAGTTTAGACAGGGCACTTTTAGTATCAATTCCTTCAATGGGACTAGGTTGTTTAGTTTTGAAACAATCGTAATAATACCATCCATGACTATTACCAGCCTTTCTGAGCTTTCAGCAGGTTTTAACTGTTCTGCCTTTTGAGTGACATTTGCTCCTGTAAACTCTGCATCCCTAACAGCAGTGGTGACTGTGTAGTGCCACCTACTACAAGGAATTTAGCCTTTATCTGTGCTGTGGATGTTACCAACAGTAACACAAGCGATTTGTTTGTCTAGTGTGCTGTCTGTGATTAAAATAAGATTTAAGAAAACTAAGCCTGTAAAAACTTTTGTGCTTAAAATAGTCTCCATAACTCATCCTGTAAGACCTCAGGCAACATTGTTTTTTTTTTTATTTTTGAGAAAAATACTCTCATACTAAACTTGCACTCGTTGGTCCTATGCCCTTATCCTGAATATTATGTGGAAGACATAAGTTTATACCCAGTGTTTTAGGTTTATACTCACTAGTCAAAGCTCTGAGCATCGTGTCCATTTTCCTTTTCTGATTCCGTCGAATTCTGTAATGCCTGGCTTCTCTGTTGGCAAAGGGTTAAGTGTGGTCATGCCCTCCGTAGTCACAGGTGAGACCTGGTCTGGGTATGGGTTATAGCCTCAGGTGGTTGTATTCTATAGAGACTCTGCATTTCAGTGTTTGGAATTCAGACTACAGCAGATATATACTATCAGCATGTAACTGGGGAAAAAACCCAAACCTGTGGATGATCAGCTAATTTTTGTTCTACTCTCCATATGAAGGCAGATTCTATCATGGGGGAAAAATAAGGAGCACCTGCTTTTTCATGCTGGGTATCAATGCATAACTACCTTTGAAACTGAAAAACAGGAACAGTCACATTTCTGTACTCACGTGATCCATGCTTGAAATACTGTGAGGAATTTTGTCTTGGGCTTGTTTGGGATTTTCTGCATATGTTGAAGCAGCATGGAAGAAGCACTTTTTTTGTATGACGTTTTCAATGGTACGGATTTAACTTTTTTTTTAAAGAATTGCAGGATTAAAATCAAATTGGCATTAACAGTTATGTAAAATGTATTAGTCTGTAATTTCCTGGGATTTATGTTCTACTCATTTGTAATAGCTAGGTCTCTGTGCAAATGAAGAACAGTTACCGTGGTTGAACTGACCTCTTAGTGGAGTTCTGGATGAAAGAATTATTTCTCAGAGAATTAGATTTTGAGGGAATCTTTTAAGAACCATGTGGCAGAATTTTGTTTCAGATGTTAACGAGAACAGTTTGTGTTTATTGTAGGGCTGTCTGCAGTCTGGGACAGATGCATAGAGAGGTTCTAAATAAAATACAAATAATTTCATAGAATTAACATTTCAAAATGTTCTGTACTACATTTTCTGGAACTCCTTCTGAAGATGTGACAGATATTGATAACAGTGGATGCTTAAGACCGCTGTACTGTCAGGTACTTCCTAAAGATGAGCTCTATATGCCTCTCTCATCTTCATTTATTGAACTGTGTGCATCCGATGGGGAAGGTGCATGTCTTATGATGGGAAAAATTTTACTGGATATAAATATGGCAGTTCTGGAAGAGTACAATTCTTTCCAAGGTTCCTTTATCCCTCGTGGATATCTAAGGTGTAAACCTGACGGTAAGAAAAATTTTCATCTTTGAGACTTAGCTATGAGCTCTGGTATGAATATTATTATATCAAGAAATTAGTGTCAGGCTGTCAGTCCTTAATTTCAGCTCAGCTGAATAAAATTTCAATTTGCAAGTGGCTACTGCTTTAAACGGTTAAACCCATATGTGGTTACTTAGGATTTTACATGCAGAAAGGTGTAATTTCAAAGACTGCTAGGAATTGTGCAAAGAATATCAAGAACTTCAAAGAAGCGCTAAGGTACATATTTCTTTTTGAACCTGAGTATAGCTTTGGAAACTACAAATATCACTGTAATGGTGAGAAGAATATAATAAGTGATTGAAGTGAAAATGAACTCTTAGAGTATTTTGGGATTTGTTTTTGAAATTAATGAAATTAAGACTGTTACTTTCAATTAATCCTGAAGATTTACTTAACTCCTCTTGTTAAATTTTGGGTTCATAGTATTTGGCAATTAGTGAATTAATGCTAACTTCAAATGTAGCTTTAACAGTGGAAACTGTTTTGCTTCCTTGCACATGGTCAGTTTGTTTTTTGGTATTCTCAAAAGGGCAGCTGTCTAGATCATAACGTTTCTAGATCTAAGCATTTCTGCCTAGCAGCAGACACTTTAGAAATTCTTCCTGCAGTTTCAATGCAGTTTTAAATCTTGTCCTGTAAGACTGCTACAGGAACACAGGAGTTGTCACATGCTTTTAGGTTAGTTTTGTCTAGCCCGGTG